GTGCCCCGAGGCCACCAGCACTGCGTCGAAGGTCTCTCGCCGCTCGACGTTGCCGTTGAGATCCTTGACGACGACGTCCCAGCGACCGGTGTACTCGTAGTCTTTGGCTTGTGTCGCCCGGAGGACTTCGTGACGAAGGCGTATTTTACTTGTGATACCAAAATGGTCCGCGTAGCTCCTCATGTACTCCAGCATCTTGGTGTGTTGCATATAGTTGGGAGTCTCTTTGGGAGGCGGGAAATCGCTATGGAAAACGTAAAGCAGAAGCTTTAGCGTCTTCTTGTGCAGTGCATTATACGGGCAGTCTTGTACACTTTACTAAAAAAAGGAATCAATTACGATCATAACAATTTTCGCTTTGACAGCATTAATTTAGCTTGTTCGATTATTTGAGAACAACATAAGTGAGCGTTACTTTAAAAAGTAACCGTTACTTTTTCGATTACTTCATATTTATGAATCTGCCGTTTTGAGGAATATTCTTTTGTAGTGTGCATTGTTGGATTAGGATATCAAAATTACAAACTACTCGTCCTCTCAATCCACAAGTTTGGGTTGACCATCCTTCTTTCGCGTCTCTGCGGCACAAGCATATACGTAGGAGGATGTTGCTCTCTCCTGTAACGTTTGTCTCGTTCCTGCTATATCAAACAAATCGGTGGACGTAAAGCGAGTGCTAACACGCACACGAACCTAGAGCGTGTAATTGCCAACCCATTAGAATTATCCACTGCTGTTTATATTGCGAATGCCATAGATGCATTTTAAGCACGGCACATCAGAGACGCATCCACGCAGGTACACATAGTGTAGAAAAGAAAACGGCAAAGTACACGAGAAAAAAGTTTATTTTTAACAACCATTGCAAACAGCACGCAAAACTAAGAAATCAGCACAATTTTCTAAAGTTCCTTCGAGGCGCGACACATCGCACGGATTTTGATGGCGCAACGCGCGAGCGAACGTAATACGTGTATCACATTAGGCTTATTTGGAACAATATTTCTGGTATGTTTTACACTTAAAAGGATAAAACAGCGCAAAAAACGACGGACAGGGTAAAGAAGGACACGGACAGAGCGCTGACACGCAACTAAATTTTTACTGGACTCAACGGGGCAATATATACGCGCAATTGAGAACAAAAAGAAGAAAATCAGCCTAAAGAACACTCAAAACAAAAGTACAAAAAACGAAATATCACCTCTAAAAAGACAAACAAAGGCACGCGCTACAACCAAGCTAATCAAGTGGCCAGAAAATGAATCACCTTCCTTGATAGGGCAACGGAAGGGCTACTGACGCACATGACTCCCAATCTGTCTATTTCTAGGGCCTCCAAAATGTCACGTGTCAGCTGGTCCCGGTGATGTTTAACGACCCCGCACTGCTGAAACTGAGGCTGGCATCTGCAGTCACGGCAATGTGTGCCAAGGTGACCGGAAGCAGTTGAAGAGACGTCGTGAGCATGTTCCCTTAGCCTGTCGCTGAGACAGCGATCTGTCTGACCGACATAACGCCTGCCGCAAGACAGAGGGAGGGAATACACAACTCCCTCAGAGCAGGCGATTGCGATGCTTCGTAGTGCAGGCCCTCGCCTCCCTATCAGAGGGATTAACGGCTCGGCACAATCTAGAAAGCTTGTCAGGAGCGGTGAACAAAACATCCACATCACATCTGCCCGCAATACGTTTGAGGTTATGGGCCACGCCATGCATATACACACTAAACATCGTAACACCCTTGTGGGTGTAAATGGCTTGTCCTATAACTAAAACCCATTTGGGTGTAGCAAAACGCCCTAAAAAGGGCGTTATTCCTAACACCCCTAAAATAAGGTATTTTTCCGTAACACCCTTAAAGGACGGAGTTATTCCGAACACCCTTGAAAACTAGGGTGTGATTCTACTGTACACCTTTTTATTAGGGCGTTATCACTGCGCAGTAGGCCCTCTAAAAGGCGCGATTACCAACACCCATAAAGTAGGGCGTAATAACCTTAAAAAGTGCACGAAAAAATAACTGCAAATGCCTGGTTCACTTTTTATTTTTTAGTCAAGGTTCTAACAGGTTCTACAAAATTCTCTATAGACGATAGCAAGCAGGTCATCTGGCCGCAGCCATGTCTTCAAATTGTACAACCGAAGGCCCTAGTTGAATCTCCACTTTGTACTGTTCTTGTGACGTTTATGCTTCCTTGCACTGGTGATGTGTACAAAACTGGCAGGCTTGCAAAGACGCTACGACCGGGAGTTGCTTGGGACGTAAGCGGCAGTTCATGTTTGTAAACCGTAAAATGGTCTATTGAAACGGAAGCAGAGAGGCTATTTTCGACAAATGTTTCGTTACTCCTAAAAATAAACAGATGTGGCGGAAGTGACGATATCGCGTTTGATTGGTTAGAGGTTCAAATGACGAAAGTTACCTATTTTCGCCATTTGACCTTTTAACCAGTCAAACGCGAAACACAAAATAAGGTGTGGAGGCTTATCAGAAGACTAGGCCAAAGGGGGTTGGACAAAGCCGCTAATCTCCCTCTGCTGCTTTGTATTGCCACCTGCCCAGGGCAGGGGAGGTCGCGAAATCGGACTCGTCAGGACTTGCTTTGCGTAGTACAACCTTGAGCGTCTCAAACTGCCACTCATGTAGACGCGCATGCTCTGGTGCGGACCGCGAAATCACAAGATAAATACGAAAAACAATTTTGAACGCCGTCGAAGACGCGATTTCACGTGTACCAAAGAAAAACCTAAAAAAAAAAAAAAGTTTCGGGAAGCTAAATATTTTGGTGTCATTACGCAGAGATAAGATTCGCGTCCCTGGGGGTGTCATTAATCCGGCACTTTCGATTGTCTTGCGACATTGTTTCTTCAGAGCTACACTCCAAAATGAAGTCTCAGTGAAGGTGCTATAAGTAGTGCGAAACCCAGTCAGGTGAGTTTGTAATATCCGAAATGAGGGCGCCACAGTTTGTCCAAGTCTTCGGCTTAAAAGGTCTTTCTCAGGCTAAAAGCAAGCAGATTCTATTTCGCTTAATCTTGCTTTGTTTTGTTTTTTAACGTCGGATTTTAGGCAGTCAAGAAATAGAGATACCTCGCCGGCATAGCCGATTCACGCAGGACACTCTTGACAGTCAACCAAAAACGGCGCCACGTACGGTATGTCAGGATAGCGTCGGTGCGACCCATCCCATTTTTCACAGATATTGGCTAGACCAAAATAATATTGCCACAATCTTTCCAATTTAATTTCAAAACAGCGCAATACTGTGTGCTGCCTAGGTTGTATATTTACACGTCTTAGTTCATTTTTGTTCCGAGCGGAGATGATTTTTTTTAATCATGCACTGTTAAAAAAAACCGTAAAATTACAGGGAGCGCCAACGGGACCAGAGCCGCTCGCGAGCCGTCGTTGCCGTTTCGCCGTAAACCCCTCCACCGCACCCGAACGAACAGACATAGCCGGCGCGCTGCGCAGGCGCAGTCAATGCAGCCCTTTTATTCGGAGAGGCGGAAGGTCACGTGAACTTCTTTCCCGCGCTCCCGTGGGACGCTGTCCGCGTGAAGGCACCCCTGGCGCATGCGCAGTGAGCGTGTCGAGGCAGATCCCGCGCAATTCGGCGACTTTGTGGACGTGTTTTTGGTTCGCCGCACTCAAACCTGGAGATTTCACGGTAAGTGCATTACATCCCCTTCCTTGAACTGTTTGATGAATACCTGACGCACCACTGTTTTCTTAGATGAGTCGAGCAGTTGTCTGGATTCACTATTATGCATTGCTCGCCACAAGCGTGTGCAGACGATGTGCGCCTCGCGCTGGAGGTGCGTAGCGTTTAGGGTAACGGGGTCTTTGCCTTGTTGCTTTCGAGTGTTACTCTAGCATTATCACGAGACGTAGTGTGTCGGTGTTCTACGTTTTTCTTGCTCCCTTCTTAGTTAAATATTATTCGGCTACGTGAAACGCTCTTGGATTAGCGCTCCGCTGGAAAGGCAGAGGTCCCTGGTCCGGTTCGAGGACCATGCACGCCGATTTTTTCGGTAGCTGCTTGTTCGACATAACGTGCTGTTCAGGTGCGATTTGTTTCGAAACATGCAAAGCGACACAGTGCAATGAGGTTTCAAGTGCCCACAATAATATACTATATACGTTTGACCGAAGTGTAAAAAACTAGTGCCAAAATTCCTTTTTTTTTTTTGTTCGTTTGTGCCGAGCCGACATTTAGCTTCCGTGCACTCTCATATTGTTACGGTAGACTTGTGTGGATTTAGGAAACTTTAAATTGATCGATTCGACCTTCGTGTCTAACACTGCCAGTACTCAAATGCTTTGCAGTACGCCTTTAAGTCCGCGGTCTTTTTTTTTTTTTTTTCCGAGTTTGTTGAGTTTAGTTTTTTCCATTCCTTGGTGCGCTACTGTGTAGCGACGGCGCCGGACTCTACGTAATGAGTCATGACTGAAACACATTTGCGAAAAGCGGCCAAATTGTATGAAGAAATCGCAAACGAAAATCAGACAGCAACTCCTATTGCCTTTTTTTTTTCGGCGGGGAAACCCGGAGGGGGACCGAGCGATGTCGCAACGTTACTTCGGGAGTTCCGTCCGTTCCGTCCCTCTCCGGGTTTTCTACGCTATGGCGCAGCCGCGGCAGCCGCCGAGGCTGGTTGAGTGTTTCCGCGGTTTTTGATCAGCTTTGTAGGAAGACTGATTTTCGCCGATCTTTGTCGTGTTACGTGTATGTGGTGAACGGAGCATTGCGGAGACTGAGAATTATGTGGGCTGTCCGCTGTGTTGTGGCATTCGGGCAAAGCAAGATCGCGGTGAGTTTGCTCGTGTACAGTCGGCGGTAAAAGTTTGCAGGGCGCGGGAGCGTCAGCCGAAATGACTGGTTGCGCCTTCTGCGGCGCGCGGCCGCTCTCAAGATTCACGCTTCGAGAATGTGCTTCCTTTCGTGCTCGAAGCCATGACTTTTTCGCTCGCTTCCGCCCGACGTGCACGAGATAACCGGGGACCGGCGCAAGGTGCCGCTATGACAGCCCTCACGCCGCGCGTCTGCCTCAGCCACCGTGGTGGGTGACGAAACTCGCGCATGCTACAGATAACATTTCGCGGCACCTTGCGCCAGTCCCAGTTATATATCGTGCGTGTCGAACGGAAGCGAGCGAAAAAAGCATGACCGCGAACAAGAAAGGAAGCGCGTGCGCATAGCGTGAGTCTTGGAGCAGCAACGTGCGTGAGAAGGCGCAGCCAGTCTTTTCGGCAGGCGCTCCCGTGCCCCGCAAACTTTTGCTCCCGACTGTACGTCGGCCGATGCTCGTGTCGGTGCACATCTCAATCTCAACTAAACATCGAGCGCCGATTGTGGCTGACTCCATGCATGTAAGAACGAATTAATCTACCAGGAACTTCGTGAATAAGAACGAGGCAAGCGTGTGGCTGTAGAAGGATGTCGTGACCGGTGGCATACGTACACTGGTTTCCGCACGTTGCTTCTGTTTACTTTATCTGTTGTAATAGCAGTCTTTGTACCGGTGCGTGAAGGCCTCGGTTGCTTCGAAAACCAAAGCTGATACAGCCAGTCTCTTTTTATCCGATGATTCTGTCAAGTCCTAATCACGGCGTCATATATATATATATATATATATATATATATATATATATATATATATATATATATATATATATATATATATATATATATGAGTGCACGTTTGGTGCACGTTTGGTGTTGTTTGCATTAATTTTACTGCGGAGGACGTTGCCTTTTGCGCTGGATCGGTCTTCTCGTGTAACTTGTCTCCCAAATTTGCGTGCAACAATTTTTGCACCCTCCGATTTCTGTTCTATATTCGGTTTCTTTTCTTGTAAATGTGTTTCAGCCTTAACATTTTGCCGCGGCGCAGCTCTGTTCAGAGAAGAAACGGTCTCAGCACAGCAGGGTGCACGAAGCGCGTCGTGTGTTTAGAGAAAAAGAAAATGAAATTGGGCAAGAAATGATTTGGTAACTGCACCGTAATAAATGGCTGCCAGCAGTGGAAAAAAAAAAAAAAGAGAGATATGTTGCCTTATAGTTGGAGTTAAGTCATCTGCCTTATTGTAGTATTTGAGGTAGAAAGGAGAACAAACTAGATGCCTGGGCCGGCTTGCAAGAGACAGCGTCTCGGTTGAGACTGCTCAAAGAAAGCGCTGCCAAGGCTCGGGCGCGCGAGCGTCTAAGACTCGGTTTAAGCTCTAGCACTAGCCTTGACAGCGCTTTCTTTGAGCAGTCTCAACCGAGACTCTGCTTTATGCAAGCCGGCCCACATATCTAGAAAACCAATTTTCTGCCCCAAAAGGTGGTAAAAAAAATGTGTCACATTACTGTGCAATTGCGGGGCGTTAGCGTGAAACATTTTCGCGGTAGACTGCAACGCAAACAAAAAATGGAAAAGAGCAAGAAAACAAACAAAAAAAAACAGTAAGTCCAGCGCGAAATGCTAGGGAAAGGAAGGTGGGAGTGGAGGAAGCAGATGGATAACTGGCAAGGAGAGGAGGAATTTCCCTTGCCAGCGTTGTTTACTTACTCCTTTCCATGTTCCTTTCCCTTGCCCTTGGCAGCAGTTTAAATCAAATAGCGCTGCGTCGTCCTGGCTTTCATTGCACTGCTCAAGCTATGAATGACAAGGCGCTATACCATTCCAGCCGAGCTCTGTTCACCTGACCTCTCAAGCTAGATGCACAGAAGCGAAAACCTAGCCAACCTAGCCGAACGTTTCACATGACAATTACTGCGGCCATTCATATCACTGCCCAATGTTAGCATGCTAGACTGTAGCTCCTCATGGCTCGGGCAACCTAAAAGAACACGGAAACATAGTTTTGTATGTTAAGACTGGACGACAAGACGACACGCACGCTGCAGGTGTAGACAGGCAGGTGCAGGTGTTCTATCTTTCTGGCGTAAATAGAAACATTGCCTTCAGATTGACACAGAACATTGAGGATGGCTGTTTTGTACTTCAGTTTAAACACAATGTTAGTTTTGAAACTAGATGAAAGCTCACGTTAAGTGCTTTATAATCCTTACTGTGTTAATTTCTAGATAGGTGTATGTTTATGCTGTGTGTCATTATCTTCACAAGCACAGTTGATTTAATGTTCACTGACTTCAGTTGTGGCAGGAATAAAAAAATTTGGGGTCAAGGATTAATATCTTTGGATTAGGACTTCGCCATGATTGCTTCGAATATTGGTAATGTTTCAGGTACCTTTATAAAAATGCAAAGCTCATGTGTTTAAGTACAAAATCGTGGAGAGAAAAATGTTTTTTTGCAGATCTTGGGACTTAAAGTAGACCTTCTATCCGAAAAAAGAAAGCCAAATTGTTCAGCTCTCATGTCGTCTTAGGATATTGTATTTCTCAGGGTCCCAACAAACATGTTCAATATTAAATCAACTTGAAATAAACCAAGCACTCCTTTTTGGTTATAGATGAGACATCACTGCAAAAGATGCCAGAAAAAGTTTACATCATTGGACACGTTCTTCAAGCACACATTATATCATGAAACATCATCAAGAGGTGTTCCATGCAGCGTTGTCGGCTGTGAGGCTGCATTCAAAAATTACAACTCATTGCGAAGCCACATCACAAGGTGTCATTCTCCGCTTGCACCTCGTAATGCAACTAACTTCCAATCCTGCCGGACATGCAGTGTTAGTTCCTGCAGTGAAGAGGTGAGCCCTGGAAAGGCTTTTATCGAGCACCTCAAAAAACATCTCACCGGCAACCCGCCAACTGTTGTAACTTGTCCAATTGATGCGTGTGATAGCCAGCTTAGGACATGGGGTTCACTCATGACCCATCTTTCCATATGCCATGGGAATGGAAAAAAAAAATCAGTGGTGACAGAGCCAGTAGAGCAGGATGAAATAGTGACGTCATGCTGTAGCAAGGATGACAATGGTCTGGAGAACATTAGGGAAAAACCAGACGTTGAGAGTGAAGTGCCTTCAGTCATTGATGATGTGGATCCCACTCACTTAGATCAAGACTCTTTCCTTTTTAAAAAGGCAGAATATGTTCAGTTCTTTGCAAGAGTCACTCACTCCTAAAACAAACATACACTATTATGCTCATAAAAAGGTGCTTTGAACGACGAATACGATTGCTACTTTCACCATACAGTGGTCCTTGCAGATTTCTTTCCTTCAATATTTTGCTTTTCCCAAAAAGGTATTTTGATTACAAAGATTTTGGATATGAGGAGTCAGTGATAACATGAATTTTTTAAGGCTTACAGGTGTCTGTCTGGACAGAACATTGAGCCTGCCCAAAGATGTCCTCCTCCTCGTGACATTCCTATGTTCAAGCCCCAAAAATGATGCTGTGCTCGAGTGGAGCCTCAAAATCAACAAGGCCGAGGCAGAGTTCAAAGATCAAAACGCAGCAGCTGTCTGCCTCCTCCCATTGCTTGCATCCTACTTTCAAGAAAACCTCGGAGAGCTCTTCCAGTTACATCAGGTAGGAGCATTCATAATAACCAGGTTATTTGTTTCCAAAGACACATCCTCATGACCTTGTTGAAAATAACTTCCTGGAAGTCTCACACAGGCAGTCAGCATTCCACTGAGAAACTATGCATCTGGAAATACTAAACTTTTCTTCATTTTTTGAAATTTTCAGCTATATCAGTCTTCCTGTATACCGTAACATACCGGTCATGCACCTATGTCCGAATAGGCGCCTACCTAGTGATTTTTAACCATTGGAGCAATGCCTTGTACTCTTTCTGCAGTTTCGCTTTCTGAGCGACCATCCCCCCACTTTTTCAGAATTGTCTGCAAAATCTTTGTGAACGCTTTCTTGGTATCTGACGACAATGCTGATAATGAGCACGTAAAAAGTGAAATTACTATTGCTCTACGAGGAGCCAAACCTTCCTTAATCTTTTCCTGGCTGAGGTGGCTCAACTTATTATACTTCACATTAGAGTGCAATGGGAAGGTATGCAACTCTAGGCTGGGTCATCTCATAGTATGTTCTACATAAATATTTCACTAAACCAAAGGGGGAGCGGCGGTGGGCACCCACTCTTGTACCACTTGCTTCTAATGGGTTCACATGATGTTTTGCATTTTTGGGATCGAGTGTTAGAGTTAACACAAAAATTATGCTAGAGAATTAACTAGTGACAAACGTTTGTACTTCCACTTCGACTCCTAAGTTAGGATCATTTGTTTTTAATATTAGCAGCTTCCTTGTCCCGCAGGTGTAACAATGAGGCTTTGTGACAGATATCAGCAGATACATTGCTGCTTATTTAACGTTGTTTTTTAGTTGTTATTGAGCGTTAGGACAACAAATGTTTGTAGTTAAAAATGTCCTTATTAGTGAGAAAATAACAGGAACCGCATCCTTTGATCTCAGCAAACGCTATCTCCTGTAGGTGGGATGAAGGGTTAAAGGAAATAAGGGTGAGATGAAAATAAAGTGGGTGAGACGAACCTCTTTCACATAAGTGAGGGGTGAATGGAGAATAGCCTTTTGGTATTCCCGAATACCCGTGGGATTAACAGACTCTTTCAAGGTTTGGGGTTCTTGCATGTGTGGGCAGTACCAGGAGTGCGCTTCTGTGACTGTGACCTCGCAGTGGGCGCATAGGCTCTTGTCTTTTTCCTGTGTATGGCGGCTTATGCACCATGTTCTTGTGGGTGTTACATTTTGCTGTTTCCTTGGAAACCATAGTGGTGTGGGTCCGTTGTCTTTTCAGGCGAACCTCTTCCCACCTGGTATAATTACCATCTGGGAGTGGGTCTAGGTCTTCTTTGAGTAGAGCCGTGAGGTGTTTTCAGTGGGCCTGTTGTTTGGCTTCCTGGGAGAATAGGGGATCCTTTGTGTCTTTTTCAATGAAGGCGGCGCTGTTGTCACCAAGGATAGTAAGGATAAGGGAGGACAGGAACTCGCATGCGGCGGCAGACACTGTTTTATTTACTTGGGAATGGTTTGGTGTACCAGGAAGCAGTGGATTTAAAGTTGTCGGCCTTCCTGCCAGAGTCCTTTGAATGTGCCCCACACTCGTCGTGTGTTATCTCGGAGCTTGCACCTCAGTTGTTTACGGAGCTTCTGGGTGTATTTTTTATCTTCACCGTGCTTGCATTGAAATTGGCTTGGAGTTTTCAGTCCTTATTTCTCCTGTAACATTGTTGGGCTTGCAGTCTGATAGCACACAAGTTGAGGAGATGAAGGTCGGGGTCTTGGTCGTCTTGTTTGGCTTGGTACTTCTGAGTGGATGTGGCTTTCATTATTCGCTCACCTAAACACTTTTTCAGGTGCTAGGTTAATGAAGCTGATCTGTCATTTAGTGTTGGGGTGTCTTTCTGTCATTAATTCTATTTCGACGGGTAGGTGCTTGCTTCCCAAGGCGTCGGAGCAGTTCGCACTCGGGCTTGGATGTTGTGTATGGCCCATGTCAAGTCTTGTGGTGTCGTTCTCAGTGCGACGTTTGCCAATGCGAATGGCAGTCTGTTTTTCTTTGAGAATTCATAGATTGGCCTGCTTGGCGGGTGTGAAGACATTGCACTCTCTGTCATTGTCTCGCTTGTATCCCCATATTCGTGCATCTGCGGTAAAGTCGCCGGCCACGATAAGTTCTTCGGGCATCATTCTTTGCGATCCGCCTTACGTCGTCTTGCTTGTGTCCCACAGTTCTACATTCTGTGGGAATAAATATAGACCCATAGATGTATGGTACCTTCACTAGCATTTCGTGCATTTCTCAATTAACCACACATGTTTTCTGACTTTTCTTAGGTGACAACAGAAATCACAGAGGAGTTTCGTAACAGTCTGCCTGCTTCTCCTGTAATTGTTGCACTGGGTGAGCTTCATGTGTCTTTTCCTTGCATGCTTCGTATTTTTGAAGGTGCTTTCTTTTTTAATTTGTGTTGAATTTTGGAACAACAACCTAGACCGTTTTATCGTGGGTAGTGCCATTTTGAGAGTGAGAGACAGAAGAGGGGTCAGTGCAGATGACTCCTAGTGACTCAATTGTAGTGGGATACTGTAGTGGTGTAACCAGAGTGCTGGAATACTGCAGTGGTGTAACCAAAGGGTGGTGTGCCGATTTTGACCAGAGCTAGATAGACGACCACATTGTTTGGTTTCGGCAGCCTTATCAAGCACCAATGTAAAGCACATGTCCTGGTATTATACCATACTTTGACAATCAATGTTTGATTGATCCAGCAAGAAAAAGAGAAGTTTTTATTTTGGTTTGCGAGTGAAGGTGCCACAAAACGGCATACAGCCCAAACAGCAGGTGCCTGTGAGGCATTTGATTGTTTGGGCCTGCATTCTGTGTCTTGTCCAACCCAAACAGCCAAATTTTCTGCTCGTAGAATGTGTGGTCGCATGCGGTCTCCGGTCATTTAATTTCTAGCTAAAGCAATTTAAACGAAACCGACGACTGGCATTGCACGTTGGCATCAGACTTCCATGCTACTGATTCTGTTCACAAACTCAACAAAAAGTGTTTGATTCTACATGTTCATATACAAATTTTTTGTTTTGTTCAAACCTTCAGGAGCACTTTGCATAACTTAATGTCATTACTGGGTATGGTAGCTCAACACTATTTAGTGCGACCCTTATTTGGCTTGGCATATAAGGTGTGCCTTATCTGTGATTGTGATGCATCTCAGTCTCAGATCTCAGATATGCGTCACAATCCTATATCGGTGTGCCTACCTATTCAGTGCCCCTGCTGGTAATACCTCTATAGAAGTTTCCAGATGCGAATATGACAATGGTATTTTTTTCTTCATTTAATGCGTGAGCGTTAAAAGCCCTATTAGAGAAAAAGCCGGCGTAGTGGTGTCGGTCGCATGACTTTTCTGGTCACTTGACTAGATAGGTCGATACATCTGATACTAACACATTTTCTCCGCATTAATTACATTAATCGCTTGTTTCTTTCCTAGGCCGCTCACTTTTCGAATGCAGCTGCCAGCTGTTTGTGGACCATGAGGTGATGGTGGAAGATGTGGGCTTTCTGCAAGCTGTGGAGCTCCTTTTTGCCCTTTATTATTGTTTAAACATCCAGTATGCCAAAGGTGCGGGAACCACACTTGAGTTCATTCAGAGGTATGGTTTATTTCCTTCATAATTTTGAGCCTCATGAGAGGCAATAAAGAGCAACTCTGCTGAATTTTGGCTGAGAAAACGATTGGTTCTCTTTATAATCATCTAGGAAGGCTACAACTGAAATCTTTCTGTATATAAAATTGGACCCTCAAAGTTTGACAAGCGCTAATCTGCTAATTTTAGCGAGCAATGTGCAGGCTAGCCAACTTTGGCACTTCCTTCAGATGTGACGTCATGTTGATGTCTGCTGTATACACCGGCTTTTTTCTCTTTCAACGCCATCACATGTCCAGTCAGTTCAGACAACACTACCTAGAGTTGACCCAGTGAGTGGGGTAAATCACGTAATCATGCATCTGCCATGGACATGAGTGTGCATGCAACTGACGTCGCTGCTTGCCCTTTGCCGAAGTTTCGGTTTCAATTTGCGACTTGAGTTATAAATGGCAAAGTTGCACAAACAATATTCTACTTTTCGTGAAACAATGTAGAGTTGTTCATGAGTGCTTTTCAAAGTAAGGTCATCCACTATCTTGAAATTTTCTAAATTGAGTAGAGTTGCCCTTTAATTTGTCATGGCTACCCACATTTCCAAGCTCAATTTCAGAGTCCATTATTAAACCGCAATAGGGTGTTGTATTCTTGGACCACAAAATGAATAAAACGTGCTCGGGACGAAGGAGACGACAAACATTTCTTTCAACTAAGAACAACAGGAATGAACTTAAGAGCACTCCGTGCAATTCAGACTGCCAAGAAAATGGAGAGAAAGGGAGGCAGGAAGATAAAAAGGAAAGTGTAAAGTTAGAATTGTAACTCATGCTGTTACTTCACTCTTTTTCTTATTTCCTTCCTTACAATTTTTGACACTTACCTTTCTCTCTTTCTGCCTCCCTTTCTCTCAGTTTCCTTGGCGGTCTGAATTGAAGGAAGTGCTTTTAAGCTCATTCATGTTGTTAATTAAAAGAACTGTTTGTCGTCCTTCGTCCGGGTATGTTTTGTTCTTTCTGTGGTCTGTGAATTTTACCAACACACTCTTCAGTTACTTTAAAGGTTGTTATATCTTGCATAATAATTCGATTTAAAAATTTCACCTAATGTTACAATGTGACTATGTTTGATCCTATCCCAGAAATCACAAATAAATATGTCAATATATCTACTATTCCTATTGTTTTATCTTTACTGAATGTGACATTTACTTATAATTCTATTTGGCATTCAGTTAGAAGGCAGAGTCATAAGCAGTATACATCATTAAATTATTTTTGGCTGGAAACAAATTGGAGCCTCAAAATATGTTTAATATACTCAGCTAATTATTTATTTAAGAGTTTCTTTACTGCACCACACTATTCTGTATCACTCTAAAAGTGTCTAGAAGTGATATGTGCAGATGATCTCTAATTCATCTAATTCATAACTAAATTTGACTGATATACAACCTTTTCACAACTTTTTGAAGCTTTATTTCTGCATGTTTTAGTAGCATGTGGTTCATGTTTGATTTTGTACCTGAATACCTTTTTCTCGTCTTTATACATGTTTATCAATTGTATGTTCTTTCGACAGTGGCTGGCCAAAATGTGGCTTCCTAAAAAAAGAGAATGATTCTCTTACAACATTCCTTTTGCCATGTCTGGTGCTTTTAAGCAATCATTAACAGCTAGTTGAGTATTTTAGGTCATTCAACTGTCTGCAATACTAATTATGCAAATGAGTGCTTGCTTAATTACGAGTAGAAATGCAGAGGAGGAATTGCTTTGTGACTGTGTAGGACAACAGACAAATTTTAATGCTGTATTGTAATAAAAGAAATAAGCACGAAGCAGGGATGGGCAAAATACATGCAAATATGTATCGAAATACAAATACAAAATGCTTCGTCAAAAATGTATTTAATTACAAATCTAATTACTTTTGCAAAAAAGTATTTAAGTACAAGATACAAATACAGACAGAAAAGTAGTTGGTCTCTTCCAAATACTTTTCCAAATACATTCCTTAAAATTTGCGTCAGCGACTTCAGGGCACCTGCAACAGGTTTCTGGGTATCTCATTTTAATTTTGCATCGCACACTCGGGAGTTAGTGCTCGAGGCTCTAGTAACGTAATACAAATATAATCACAAAAAAAAAATGTAATCAGCTTGGACGTAATAGGTAAAAAAAGTACAGAGCTTCAAGCAGTTTTTTTTTTTTTTTTTTGATTACATTTTGGTATAGACAATCAAAGGACCGAGACGACCAAGACGCGCAGCACTAGCTACAGATTTTTTTATTGTTGCAACTCGCACCAGTTACAAACATCTGGATGACCCGCGCATTTAGAATGTTCGAGGCAAAAGTATGGATGGAAATCAGGCTGGAAAGCATCACAAGTTGTCTCTCACTTATTTAGCCAGTCTGCCTGTGAACGTCGATTTCGTCACTATTCTTTCCCTGGACTAGCATCGTAATTACAAAGTCACAAAACGCTTGTGCTTGATTGAGAGACACTGCATTCGGTGCAGAACGTAGTTTTCTTCCTGCTCTGGACAGTGACAATAAATTTGAGGGATGTATTTTCGCCCACAAAATTGTATTTAATTACAATTGTATTTGAAATACACACGTTTTAGTATTTAAATACACACATCAAATACATTACAGAATTTTTAATTAAATACAAATGCAAAATACACAAAGTATTTGAAATACGTAGTTCAAATACTTGTACCGTAATATCCCGAGTCATCGCCCACCCCCCTACCGCCTGAAATTCATCAAAAAAATGGGGTGGGCCATGTCTCGGTGGGTGAGCACAAACACTTGAAAAAAAGCGGAAAAAACCGCCTATTTTTCTCTGCGTATCTAGTGCTGATGCATAAGAGATACTTCAAACTCCAAACTCGATTTAGTTTCATTGTTTTATAGAAAAAAATGCTCACGAAAAAATATTTTACTATAGCGAAGTCCGTTGCTTGCATACGAGCTAGAAACACCGTCGATCTGCATATAGCGTGAACGTTTGTTCCGTGAAAGAATGTCACCACTATGTTCTCCTAGTTAGTAAAAAAAAAAAGTCTACAAGCAAATAGAAAAACCGACCAGGCGCAACGAGCAAGCGAGCGAGCGGACCAAAGAAGCGACCAAGAGCAATGCTGGGAAAGCGGGAAAGCCGGCGGTCGCATTGGCAAATACTTTGGCGTTGAGCCAAGTCGCGCGCCTTATCAATTGCGAGCTCTTGCGCAACTTTCTTGTTTGGTGCATACATACGTGCGTCCGTGCACGGCGGGCTATCAATGCACGGTTGGGACGCTCTGCAAACGTCTGTGTAGGGCATTCCAGCAAAGCTTAATTTACGCGTTGGCTTTGCCTAAAATATTGCACAACCGCGGTTGCGACGGGCGGGAAGAAGGAGCGGGTTCGCGGTGACCTTACTTCGGCGGAGACAGACTTTGACCTAACACTCTACCGTTACTTTAACAAACTCTTATTTTGTTATCTCCATCATTTTCTTTTCGCACGGATACACGACCACTTTGGGGTCGCTCACGGAGGAAATGCGTAAAGAAAAAGAAGTGTCTTTCCCTCCTTCGTTTTACTTTGTCACGGACGTCCTCCAACTGTAAGGTCCGCGGCCGCGTCATTCGGGTAAGATGAGTGATCACGGATCGCAGAGTCCGCGCTGGGGTATTTGAAGGGGTGGGCGATGACTCGGTGTTTTTTCGGAAATCGATATTGGCCCAAAAAATGGGGTGGGCGATGGCTCGGGGATGGGCGATGACTCGGGATATTACGGTATTTGAAATACTGCCCATCCCTGGCGCGAAGTATGTACTTGTTCTTCTGTTTATGTCGCTGCTATAAAATTTACTTTTGTTTGCTTCCAAAGCTTCTCCCAAATGACTCAAATCAATTACATCGCTGTCTGTTCAATATCTTTTTAAATCAACATGTTTTTAGTGTTTTGTAGGTCTAAAAGTTACATATATGAATCCTACCCCTTAAGATGTGCCACATGGGGCTTATAACTTCTGAAATATTCCGAGTTCTGTATCCCCATCGCATCTGAGTGAGGGAAGCCTTGAGTGCCAGATTTTCTCCTCTGTCAGAAAAATGACACATTATTACAATATTTTTTTGTTGTTCCCTCATTGTTTTATTTTCCTCAAAATCTAGGCATGAATTTGTACCTTGACATATTTTCTTTAAGTGCACAGTGCACAGTCTGCTGGCCTAAATGTAGGTTTTGCTCAGCTTGTTATGGCTTAATTGTTATTTCAGGAACCTTCAACACACTTATGCATTTGAACTGTGCACCTATGTGACTTTGGTGGCAAAGCTTAGGGCTTTCGACATTAGTTGTGCATGTAAAATATCAGCAAGTACTGATCTCAAATCCTTCACTGCAATTTTTTTTCACTTGTCTGGTTTCTGACCAAATACTTATGGGCCAATCTGCTATTTGTTTCAGATACCAGGTTGGTATCAAACAACATGATGGGTCACGACAGGAGGCCGGGAGGTCGAAAGGAGCTCGGGCAAGAGCAATCAAAGCCGCCACAGATCTTGCTGCTTTTGAGAAAAAATGGAACAGTGTGAGTACATATTTGATTTGGCATGTGTACGATGTGGTATCAAAAGGTTTCCAGTCTTGTCTTGTATTAAAAAGAAAAGCAAATGGCAGCACAACACTGCATTCACAGGGGTCGAGGGCAGCAACCTTGATCTGTCATGGTGCTGAGTGGCTCAATGTGGCAATGCACAGGCGAGTTGGTGCATGATTATAACTGGTAGCAGCATGCAAAAACACACGGACAAAGGGACGAATGCACAGGACTTCGGTGTTTCCTTTTCATTAAACATTTAGTTGAAGTTCAGCGCTCGCCTTGTGCATTTCCTCCCTTTGTCCTTGTGTTTTTGCGCGCTGCTACCAGAGGCCTAGAGCATCGCTCTGTGAGCTTGGGGGCCCCTGCTGTACAGGTTTTTGTGACTTCATGTGCGTGCACCTCTGCAATTTGTGCAAGTGGTTGTGGTCCTCCCGTAGCCTTTTCAATCATCTGAATATGAATTTGTTTTATTTTCAGCTCATCTGATGATCGATCGGATGCCATGAAGGTTTCTTTATAATTATGTTCTTTTACGGTTTACAATATAGTTCTTCAATTTCAAAACTGCCTCCGTTTTGTCTTGTCCCTTTTTTCAGACACACTACACTTGTTTATAAGGATTTGTCGTTATATTACGGAACTGTAGTGCGCTAACTCATGATGCCAGACGTTATCTGTAACCCTCCGTAATACTACCAAGGCCGTAGCTGAGAGTTCACATTATTGTTACCGTACAGCGAGCACACAGCGATAGAAGTGCAGTACGCAAGTACGGGATTAAAGCTGCAAACTAAACTTGAGGTATGCAAGCCGTCAAGTGTTCCGACGGTATTGAAGGCGTAAGGGAAGGGTACGGTAACTGGACTGTTACCGTTACAATACGGCAATGGAAGTGCAGTATGAAAATACGGGACTGAAACCGTACCCTTCCCTTACGCCTTCAATACCGTCTGAACACTCGACGGCTTGGATACCTGGAGCTAAGTTTGCGGCTTTAGTCCTGTACTTGCGTACTGCGCTTCTATTGCTGTATGTCTGCTGTACAGAAATGATAATGTAAACTGTCAGCTACGGCTTTGGTGGTATTACGGAGGGTTACAGATAATGTCTGGCATCATGAGTTAGCGCAGTACGGTTCTGTAATATAACGGCACTTTTTTTAACAGTGTGGCTGAACCGATAAAACTGATGCACGCGCGAAACGTAATTTTAGGCTCGTGTCGAACGAAGAGTTCAATAGGAGTTCCAAAAACTATTCTCTAGCACTTCATAATCATACGCGACTCCGTGTGGCGATTAATTATACTCGATGTTTGTACCGCCGTACATCAAAAACAGTTTCACCAAAGCAATAAATATGAACGGCTATAAAATCATGGGTGTATTTGACAGCATCATCATTACGCCCCTTTCACACCGTGTAGATGAAGGGCGTAAAATTCGCCCATACACCCTTCTTCCATGATTTCAGACACCATCGCTGCAAGTAGGGCGTAGAGAGGGCGTGTAAAGGGTGTAAAATGTCAGCACACCCTTTTTACACCCACCGATATTCAGAAATCGTGTAAAAAGCGTGTAAAAATGGTGTTTTCCCTACCTTACACCCTTCTTACACCCTTTTTACACGATTATGGGTGTTACAATGTTTAGTGTGTACGGAATGACGGCGAATTTTCTTCTTTCTCGTCCTTTTCTACTGCTGAAAGGGGTATCGCTCGTCTCAGGCCAAGTTTTGGTTTCTTTGAAAACTTGGCCTGAGACGAGCGATATCCCTTTCAGCAGTAGAAAAGGACGAGAAAGAAGAAAATTCGCCGTCATTCCGTATATGCATGGTGTGGCCCATAACCTCAAACGTATTGCGGGCAGATGTGATGTGGACGCTTTGTTCACCGCTCCTGACAAGCTTTCTAGAGTATGTCGAGCCGTTAATCCCTCTGATAGGGAGACAAGGGCCTGCACTACGAAGCATCGCAATGGCTACGTCTCCTGCGCTGAGGGAGTTGTGTATCCCCTCCCTCTGTCTTGCGGCAGGCGTTATGTCGGCCAGACAGGTCGCTGTCTCAGCGACAGGCTAAGGGAACATGCTCACGACGTCTCTTCAACTACTTCCGGTCACCTTGGCACACATTGCCGTGACTGCAGATGCCAGCCTCAGTTTCAACAGTGCGGGGTCGTTAAACATCACCGGGACCAGCTGACACGTGACATTTCGGAGGCCATTGAAAATAGACAGATTGGGAGTCATGTGCGTCAGCAGCCCTTCCGTTGCCTTATCAAGGACGGTGATTCATTTTCTGGCCACTTGATTAGCTCGGTTGTAGCGCGTGCCTTTGTTTGTCTTTTTAGAGGTGGTATTTCGTTTTTTGTGCTTTTGTTTTGAGTGTTTTTAGGCTGATTTTCTTCTTTTTGTTCTCAATTGTGCGTATATATTGCCCCGTTGAGTCCAGTAAAAATTTAGTTGCGTGTCAGCGCTCTGTCCGTGTCCTTCTTTACCCTGTCCGTCGTTTCTCGCGCTGTTTTAACCTTTTAAGTATGTCATACCAACTCGCCCAGGCTTCAACTTTAGCATGTTTTACACATGAAACATGCACGTTCAAGGAACGCGTGTGCCTTGAAAGAAGGAGCTACTCATGGATCAAGCTTCCTGGATGCACTCAACAAAAACGCGTAACCAGGTACTATCGGAAACAATATGAGTGTGAACGCGCCTCCGCGTGTCGCCGCTACCTGAGGCGCCGCCCTGCGGCGCCGTTGGGAAGTTTTGCGCATGCGTGTAGATATCCTGTCGCTGTTCTCGCTTTGACGGTCAACCTCCGTCTGACGTCTGCTATGCGCGCGATGGCGGCCGCTCACGCTGCCGTCTCCTGTGCGACTCGTGTTCGCGCTGGCGTCCGCTCTTGCTGAAGTCTGCTATGCGACTCCTGTGTGCGCTGGCGGCCGCTCACGCTGTCGTCTCCTATGCGACTCGTGTTCTCGCCGGCGTCCGCTCCTGCTGTCGTCTGCTATGCGACTCCTGTGTGCGCTGGCGGCCGCTCACGCTGTCGTCTCCTGTGCGACTCGTGTTCGCGCTGGCGTCCGCTCTTGCTGAAGTCTGCTATGCGACTCCTGTGTGCGCTGGCGGCCGCTCACGCTGTCGTCTCCTGTGCGACTCGTGTTCTCGCCGGCGTCCGCTCGTGCTGTCGTCTGCTATGCGACTCCTGTGTGCGCTGGCAGCCGCTCACGCTGTCGTCTCCTGTGCGACTCGTGTTCGCGCTGGCGTCCGCTCTTGCTGAAGTCTGCTATGCGACTCCTGTGTGCGCTGGCGGCCGCTCACGCTGTCGTCTCCTGTGCGACTCGTGTTCGCGCTGGCGTCCGCTCTTGCTGAAGTCTGCTATGCGACTCCTGTGTGCGCTGGCGGCCGCTCACGCTGTCGTCTCCTGTGCGACTCGTGTTCTCGCCGGCGTCCGCTCGTGCTGTCGTCTGCTATGCGACTCCTGTGTGCGCTGGCGGCCGCTCACGCTGTCGTCTCCTATGCGACTCGTGTTCTCGCCGGCGTCCGCTCGTGCTGTCGTCTGCTATGCGACTCCTGTGTGCGCTGGCGGCCGCTCACGCTGTCGTCTCCTGTGCGACTCGTGTTCGCGCTGGCGTCCGCTCCTGCTGTCGTCTGCTATGCGACTCCTGTGTGCGCTGGCGGCCGCTCACGCTGTCGTCTCCTGTGCGACTCGTGTTCGCGCTGGCGTCCGCTCTTGCTGAAGTCTGCTATGCGACTCCTGTGTGCGCTGGCGGCCGCTCACGCTGTCGTCTCCTGTGCGACTCGTGTTCTCGCCGGCGTCCGCTCGTGCTGTCGTCTGCTATGCGACTCCTGTGTGCGCTGGCAGCCGCTCACGCTGTCGTCTCCTGTGCGACTCGTGTTCGCGCTGGCGTCCGCTCTTGCTGAAGTCTGCTATGCGACTCCTGTGTGCGCTGGCGGCCGCTCACGCTGTCGTCTCCTGTGCGACTCGTGTTCGCGCTGGCGTCCGCTCTTGCTGAAGTCTGCTATGCGACTCCTGTGTGCGCTGGCGGCCGCTCACGCTGTCGTCTCCTGTGCGACTCGTGTTCTCGCCGGCGTCCGCTCGTGCTGTCGTCTGCTATGCGACTCCTGTGTGCGCTGGCAGCCGCTCACGCTGTCGTCTCCTGTGCGACTCGTGTTCGCGCTGGCGTCCGCTCCTGCTGTCGTCTGCTATGCGACTCCTGTGTGCGCTGGCGGCCGCTCACGCTGTCGTCTCCTGTGCGACTCGTGTTCGCGCTGGCGTCCGCTCGTGCTGTCGTCTGCTATGCGACTCCTGTGTGCGCTGGCGGCCGCTCACGCTGTCGTCTCCTGTGCGACTCGTGTTCTCGCCGGCGTCCGCTCGTGCTGTCGTCTGCTATGCGACTCCTGTGTGCGCTGGCAGCCGCTCACGCTGTCGTCTCCTGTGCGACTCGTGTTCGCGCTGGCGTCCGCTCGTGCTGTCGTCTGCTATGCGACTCCTGTGTGCGCTGGCGGCCGCTCACGCTGTCGTCTCCTGTGCGACTCGTGTTCGCGCTGGCGTCCGCTCCTGCTGTCGTCTGCTATGCGACTCCTGTGTGCGCTGGCGGCCGCTCACGCTGTCGTCTCCTGTGCGACTCGTGTTCTCGCCGGCGTCCGCTCGTGCTGTCGTCTGCTATGCGACTCCTGTGTGCGCTGGCAGCCGCTCACGCTGTCGTCTCCTGTGCGACTCGTGTTCGCGCTGGCGTCCGCTCCTGCTGTCGTCTGCTATGCGACTCCTGTGTGCGCTGGCGGCCGCTCACGCTGTCGTCTCCTGTGCGACTCGTGTTCTCGCCGGCGTCCGCTCGTGCTGTCGTCTGCTATGCGACTCCTGTGTGCGCTGGCGGCCGCTCACGCTGTCGTCTCCTGTGCGACTCGTGTTCTCGCCGGCGTCCGCTCGTGCTGTCGTCTGCTATGCGACTCCTGTGTGCGCTGGCGGCCGCTCACGCTGTCGTCTCCTGTGCGACTCGTGTTCTCGCCGGCGTCCGCTCCTGCTGTCGTCTGCTATGCGACTCCTGTGTGCGCTGGCGGCCGCTCACGCTGTCGTCTCCTGTGCGACTCGTGTTCGCGCTGGCGTCCGCTCGTGCTGTCGTCTGCTATGCGACTCCTGTGTGCGCTGGCGGCCGCTCACGCTGTCGTCTCCTGTGCGACTCGTGTTCTCGCCGGCGTCCGCTCGTGCTGTCGTCTGCTATGCGACTCCTGTGTGCGCTGGCAGCCGCTCACGCTGTCGTCTCCTGTGCGACTCGTGTTCGCGCTGGCGTCCGCTCGTGCTGTCGTCTGCTATGCGACTCCTGTGTGCGCTGGCGGCCGCTCACGCTGTCGTCTCCTGTGCGACTCGTGTTCGCGCTGGCGTCCGCTCCTGCTGTCGTCTGCTATGCGACTCCTGTGTGCGCTGGCGGCCGCTCACGCTGTCGTCTCCTGTGCGACTCGTGTTCTCGCCGGCGTCCGCTCGTGCTGTCGTCTGCTATGCGACTCCTGTGTGCGCTGGCGGCCGCTCACGCTGTCGTCTCCTGTGCGACTCGTGTTCGCGCTGGCGTCCGCTCCTG